TCGTTTTATTTATATTAAAACGATTATGTTCGTGAATTCATGAATTTAGCTTTTCAATTTATTTCATATGATTTTTACGTTAAATTCGACATAGAGATATTGCCAAGCGACAATTGATGCACTATGCAATCAGCAGTGATAAATAATATTGTAATTTATTCTAACATGAACCATTCTAGTATCTTAAGTGTCCTTTATTACACATTTTATCTCTGTAATTGGTATTTGAGATTAGTGTTTGAACAGATTTTCACTAATCATTTTGATACAGTGGTATGTACAATGTTGATAATAAGTACATATAATCTAGGCACAGTTTAACCATTTTTTGTTGACACGGTTTTCTTTTTATAATCCCAATGCGAAAATATATACCGAAACTTCTAAAAGTAAAGTTTTGTTTTAAAAACTCACAAATTATCACTTGAACTTGACGAATGTGTCTCTTCTTAAAATTATCTTGTTATCTTGTTATCGTTATAGTATGTACTATATGAACATGTGTAAGTTGTTAGCTATTTGGTGCCTTAACAGTCTACATAACTTGTAAAGAAACTGAGCAAAAACACAAAAAAGGAAAGGAACACAAAATAAAAAAAAAATATGACATCATTAACAAAAATAACACCATCTCCAAGTGACAGACCGACACTCAAACACATTAAACTGGATTGATGAGTACTCTTAGCTTATGTCATCTCAGTGTGTGTCAAGCTTATGTCATCTCAGTGTGTGTCAAGCTTATGCCATCTCAGTGTGTGTCAAAACAAACATAATCAAGAAAAACATCATAAAGAATAGGAAGAAAATACCCCTTCAAAATTCAAACATTAGTGAGAGACGATTAAAGAGAATGATACGGTTGGGAATATTATTTTTGCCTTCTCACGCTTGAATATAACTCCATAGACGACAAGTCAATCAAATTCATATCTCCAAGTGAAACAATGCTTTTACGAAAACCTCCAAAATGTCAAAAAATATTGTACAAAGTGACATTTTTATTCTGTCACAAAATGACTTTCTTGTTGAATCCTTTTACATTGCTATTTGTGTTTAAAGCATGACATTTATTGTTCAAAACGTCCAATATCTACATAACGGATATTTGACTGAAATTATGTAACTCGGTAGGGACAAATATTCAATAGTTTTACTTGATCAACCATTTATTCTTTAAGGCGATTGTATTATCTTGAAGGAAAAGTATTTTTAAAGATGGAGCATTATAATAGCAATGGAAGTAATTGTTCACATTAAATGTTGTTGACATATATGGTAATAGTTTTATTATCGTGACCAGCAGAACTTTGGCAGTCCCTTTTACTACCGTGACATGTGATATTTTGAATGTAAACATTTAGACATTTAAATGACTCGGCTATAATGAATTTCGTTTTTACAATTTCATTTTGTTGACAAAGTAAAACAGGAGTCAATTGGAAAATTAATAACTTGAACATCGATGCCATTGTATTCCTCAAAATTATTATTTGATAATGAAACATGTCATTTCAAACGCATATTTAATAGTATTGAAACGTTCGTACTACACAACTCCATTTCTAAATGACTACCGTATGAATTTCATTATACAACATAAAGACCCCCGAAAACCAGTCGAAAATACAAACGTAGTCATTCAGATTTGTTCAGTCAGAAGATCAGTTAAATGTAAACAATAATTAAATAGATGAGATTCGGTCCATATATATTTTAGATTTATTTCCTCCACTGATCTACATTTTGTGATATGAAATAGGGAAAATTCACTTTCCACGCAGGGAGAATAATAACTTTTTCAAACGTCATGAAAATCAAAATAATTTAAAGAAAATACTCTAAGAAGGGTTTTCATTTGTGAATTTGCTAAAAAGGTTCTGGATCCATAACCAAACATTTCATATTCTTTTGTCCCACATCTCTTTTTATTTATATTAATCAATCGACAATTTTAATGAAGAACTTATCTTAATGTTTAATAAAGATTACTCTTGTTCTACTCTACAACTTAAAGAGAGAGGTGTGGTTAAAATATCAAATATTATTCTATAGGACAGCACTTGTGTAAGTCACTTATTTATCGCCGCAACCGGTAATGTCGCGGTAGCGGTTTCATCCCGGGTCGGTCAACCAAAGACTTGAAAGATTGGTTAAAGTGTGCTCATGTCTTCCCTCTGCATGATATTGTAAACTAGCGCGTTAAAAAATTAGACTCGACGTGTGGGTCTAGTACAATTTATAACACCATAACATTATACAGTTTCAAGTTTTGTTGTCTCGTGTACAATTATCCCATATATAATCTCGTTCAAAATCTCAATACAATATATTTCAACGTGTGTACATGTTTAACAAAGGGTTATCAAATATGTTTCGGATTATTATGTGTCATATACTTTATTCTTAATATTCTTGGCGTATAGGTCTACATATTTTATGAACATCAAACATTATGAAGATTTCAATGTGTCAATAAGTCAAGTTATCTTCTGTTGTATACTTTCGGTATAAATCGATTATCCCGGTTTTCAATTCTAAAAAGTAAATAAAGAACAGAGAAAATGTGTTACAATATTGACACGATAATATATTATATATCAAGTCTTTGCATTGCATTATCTTCAGTATTTAATACGAGTTTATATTAGAATCCCTAGTCTAATAACGCTGTATATCATTATAATGAATGTTTCTAGATAGGTTAACCTCCATTCATTCACGTACAATGAACTATAAATTGTTCACTGGTTATTATATCCCCGCTCAATGTTCTTGACAAAATGTGACGAAAGTTTTACATGAAATCTTAAAGATACAATTTTTCTGCAAACAGAAAGTAGAACACAGAACGGACATAACTCGTGCAACATGAATGTAATGAAGCTTGGTGTCATATATATTAAGAAGCTATAACTTTTAGTTGTAAAGAAAAATATGCCCTTACAAAGGATATTAGAAAAACAGAAGGATAGTTCTTCCTATTGATTGTGGCTAAATGTGGTTCAAACTGGCCTAGTAGTTCCAGAGGAGGATATTTTTGGAGTACATCAGTTCTGTCGGACGATATATGATTGTCAATTATCTTGAAAACTATTAAAGATAGAGAGAAACTTATACTAGCAAAAATTATAAGTAAGAAAAGATCTTCAAATAAGTCAAAGTACTGAAATCGTCAGACGACTACTTATAAAAGTTATTGCTCTTAAATGACGTTTTTTATCAGATTTGTTTCCTCATTTTTGCCTAATGAGTATAATCTTGAAAACTATAATTGATACATTGAAATCTTAAAAAAACAAAACTGATAAACAAGACAAGATCAACAGATAGGTCAACAAAGCCAAAATTGTCAGTCCACTTCTTGAATGATGATTTTTATCCATGTTAAAACTATAGTAGATAGAGTGAAACTTAACAGAATATAAAGATCAGCAATACAAGATCAATAAAAAAGAGATTTTATTCAATGTTAGAGATTGGCAATTGTTGAAGATGCATATGAATCGCGATGAGCGGTACATGCTCTTTAGAGCCTCCAGTTTAAGTTTCAGAGTGGTTGAAATGCAAAATCACACGGCTCATAACGTAAATAAGAAGATGTTTCACAGTAGTATGATTTGCAATGAGACAACTCTCCCCCAGAGACCAAATGACATAGAAGTTAACAACTATAGGTCACCGTACGGCTTTCAACAATGAGCAAAACCCATACCCAAACAATAAGCAAAATGCATATTAGAGACTCAAACAAGATATAATTTACAACCGACTCAATATTTCCTATTTGCCTCTTGTTTTCAATTGACATATTCATCCTGAAAAGATCTATGGTCCTTTAAAATATAATTCCTGCTCAATAAGATATGGTTTCTTTCTTTTGATTGTTATGTACAGCTTTTATATAGCATCCCCATCGATTTCCGGACGAAAAGCAAACATTTTGTTCATTACGAAATGACATTACGAAATGACATGCATCATGACTCCTTCACAAATTAATTAATTGAAATGTATCATGTCAGGTATTGGGTTTTGTAATTGATTTCTCTCACATGTGAATGGATCTTATGATTTGCATGGCATGCGTTTATCTGTTAATATAATAAACTGAAATGAAATCAAAAGTGCAAAATGTGTCCATAGAATGTGTCAAAAACCTGGTGTATAGAAAAATAATTAAAGGATAAACACCTATTTGAAATAAAGATTTAAGCATGTGAATGTCAGTACGAAATTGATTTTACTTGAAGTGATTATTCTCCCCCGAAAACAAAATAAAGATGATTAAGAAGAAATCATTATCATGTTATCAACCAATATTTAAAACTGTGCTATACCTAATTTTCTACTGTAAAACGTGTTTTGATTGCTTGTTTTAACTGTGTTGCTTGTTCGTATTGTACGAATGTATATAGTTATGTGTCCTACATGTGCGTCCGTCCGAAATCCAGTTAAGATTAAGGCTTTAGGTAGTTTAATGAGAATTCGAAATCACATGAATATGAAACTTGGTACATATGTTTAATATAATGAGAACTTTCTTGAATATATGCAACAATTGTTTTTTTTCTCTCTGTTCTTAATTTTATTGTTCAATGAATATGGAAATGTGATAGTCTGAAATCGGTAAATTGCAAGGCCTATAGCTAAGGCAGTGGACCTTTGCTTTCAATTCCATACTGATTTATGTAAACAAATAAATAATGACATTGAAAATCTCACAAACTCTTTAACTGTTTATTGAAATACATTGAGAACAGTATTCAGAATTATTTCCACTTATGTAATTTATCAAAATATGTAAAATTATTTAAACATTTAATTGTTTTTTTTTTCTTCCTCCTATAATTACCATGAAGGGGAAAGTAGCGACCAGAAGAGTTCTGGAAATCAATATTGCATCTATTTGACAATAAACACTTTTTTTAGTCTTGTCGATAAATTTTCAACGATATGTATAACACATCTCTGAAAAATGATCCTATGATACAACACAACTGACTACAGATGCTGTTAACCGTCACGCGATTAAAACATGCAACTATTGCTTGTCACCTATATTGTCATATAACTAAAAAAATTGTATCCAGATATTGGTATGTTAATAATGTTTATTTTTTTTTTCAAATTAAGATAATTTCTGAAAAATGAAATCGTTAATCATTTGATGATTAAATGACTTGTATATGTTAATTAAATTGACGTCAAAGAAATTCAATGACATGTACTGTATTTTCTCAGTAAAATAAATATTGTGATCCAAAGAATGAATTATAATACATGTAATAATATTATAAAGATAATAAATTCTTTATTTAAAGTGGGTATGACATTCCATGTATATATAGATAAATTTTCACAAACTTGCACAAAAAGTAAATGAATGCAAGTAAAATCAAGATTTGTAAAAATGCCGATATTCAATATTCTGAATTATATAATTAAGTTTCACAATTTAACGATAGCGTCTATTATTCTACCGCGATTTCATTCGATCATTAGGAACGTCATTATGGACGACGTTTGATTTTTCTTATGTGACGTTTCTCTCATTGTTTATTACCGGTTTTTTAACAAATTTAAATTTTATTTGTACATATAAAGTGCCTAGAAAATCAACATAACAATTTCAGAGTATATCTAATTCTTTACTTCCTCCCCGACTTGGGCTGGAACCTGTACTTTTCACTTCTCAATTCTACGACAAAACCGCCTAGCATTGCAGAGACACCTTATCCCCTCCTCTAACGATAGCTGATGAAAAATCAGCTTTCGTTTCATATATTACGCTAGCAAAATGAAACATCTAAGTTAAACACGATACTCATACAAAAAAAAACTATTCTTAGAATTCGAAAATCAAAACTAAATCGCCACCCACAATGGTATTCCGCACTCCGTGACGTCTTGCAATCAATCAACTCAAACTGGTCCTAGAGGCTGGCGTTGAACTTTCAGTGAAGTGTTAAGCTTTGCTCTTTTTTTGAGTCCTCACTTTGATTTAAGAAGAACAGAAATAAAAGCACTGTTTCTTTACTTTTGGTTTTGTCAAGAGTTTGGATAGTTGTCTCATTGGCATTATTACCACATCTCCTTATTTTTATATTGAGATTTATTTGTCATGAATTAGTACATCTTATTCCCTTCTCCCAATATAATCTTCACCACGAACAAACTAAAATATACCATTCTTGATTCATTGTGTTGGTTCGTCTCTCTAATCTATTGGTATACGATTTTATGCACTGTTCCACACTGTCACTCTCTGAAATATATGAAATATAAAAAATCGTTAACACTATAAATAAGCAGACCCCGAAGCATTCAACGTAGCCTTTTTTTTGGCGAAAAGGATGTCACTGAAATGTTTCATGTAATATGTATGGAAATGAATAAATATATAGGATGAAAATCAACTACTTTGTATGAGGAACAAAAAGTTACAACAGCAATGGTTTTGATGTGTTATGCAATTTCTTCAAAATTATCCTTGTCTGTGCATAATCGCCCTTCAAAATTTGTCCAATTGGACGGCTGATTGTATTCTAGAAACAATTTGTGACCCCAATAGTGGACGGCATATTAACTACCGGTAAAACGTTGTTAACATAATAAGAACTATAAAGCCAACCGATTTTTATTCAAACTTGTATATCTTTATTTTTCACTGAAATAATATTTGCAGTGGACATGTAATGAAACAATGTATTTACTTTTTAACATATTTTCACAAAATGAAGAAGGCCGTCAGAAATAGAGTCCTGTAAAAATCATGACGTCAATGAAGTGTACGCTTGAATGAGGGATCAGACATATGTATACAAATTATATTCGAAAAATACACTCAGCGGACGTCATGCTTATCTTTCCTAGAGAATATGCCTCTCCTGCACAATGATTTATTTCATTAAAGATAACAACACAACCACGATTTTATACCTACTCCTTGTTTTGAATACATATGAATACAATCAGAATGAACATAATAGTGATAGGTAGTATTGTATATTGGGAACTTTTCTAATTTTTACCGACCAATGCTCACATATATTGAAAATTCCGCCTAAAAAGTAAAGTATGTCTGATATAAAATGGGTTTTGTTCGGAGCTTAAAAATGAGAGAAGATACCAGGGGCAGTCAAAGATGAAGAAAACAGACAAATCAATAACCGAAAGGAAATTTAAACAAGCAACCCCCCCTTTCTAAAAAAACAAACTTAAGAAACAAAAGAATATAAGAATACACAAACAAGATTATCGGAGAACACAAACCCGATAAAACAATGGTGAATTCAGGTTCTTCGAAATAGATAGGCAGTTCCCGTTCCAATATAGTCACCCGTCATGTTAAAGTAAAAATCCGATAACAAGTCGCATTCGTATATGTCATTAATTGTTTTTCATCTCTCCAAGTTTAAATCAGTTTTTAATACTAGTATTCTATGACCAAATGTAAATTCAGAATATTTTATATTTTTCGAAATATGCGACGGGATTAACATCGCATTTATCGTATATCCATCGTCTTATATCGATATTATCTTAAATGATACCAATATATCTCATACGCTTTCCCGTTGGTCAGCAATAGCAATAATAATAATAAACTTGAATTGCCATAGCAAGCAATATGGCAACATTTCATGAAGATATTTCTTTGAATTTGAAATTAAGGTCAAAGTTTTATGTTTGAAGGACCAAAATCCTTACTTTTTGAACAAATTCTTAATTCAGGGTATCTATTCTGGCATGAAAATTATTTTCAAAAAGATGAAATTTCAGTAACAAAATGTAAAACACAAACAGAATACATATGAACAAAACAACTTGACAACATTTAACACAGGTCTTGTCAATGTAAAGTCATGCAGTTGTGGGCTGTCCAACTAGGAAGAAATTTTATATTGAAAAAAAAAAGTTTTTACTTTTTAACTAGTTTGATATAAAACATACCGAACTAATTGAAGCTTAACCAGTCTTTCTGGGATAAAATCCTTTCCCGTTTGTGAATGATGAAAGCTCTTAATAAAGAAACCTTCTCGTATACTGTCACTGCACTACTTTGTATCAAAACGTAATCTTACATTTTATCTAAGCTGTTTATTTGCTAAATAACATTTGAAAACGAGTTATACAATCATAGTGTATCGCTAACATATAGGTGGAAGGGCTAAACATTCGAAATTAAGGTGGAAATTACCAATAAATTACCAATCTAAAACATTTTAGATTTTTTATTTTTATTTTCTTAATGTATGTAGGTTCGACTTTACACGTATGTGAGGAAATATTCCCGAGTCATACCGTGAAATAACCACAAATAAAAGGATATCTGAAAATTTTAAAGGTTTTTTTACGAGGTTGCACCCTTCAGGAATATCAAGCAATATCTGAGCGTTGACACAAGAAGTTCTTTTCTATGATACAGACAACCGTTAAAATTGTCTTAAATGTGTATTTTCGGGAGTTATCAATACACAACATAAATAATTGGTGTACACTTATGGAACGCCATAGCTGTCTTCCGTTGTTCATATTTAGTATATGCTGTGATCATTTAATTATTTTCAGCGTTTTTTTCTCGATTATGAGTGCCCTTTTCATTATGTTCAGTAGCATAACAATTATGTTGAGCAGTAACATCATAATGATCAGTAGAATAATCATTATATTGTGCAGATCTGGTATTATATTCAGCACTTTAATCAATATACTTAGCAGTTTTGGATTTATGTTTAGTAGGTAAATTATTCTATTGAGTAGATTTGTCTTTATATTCAGTACTTTTGAAAATATCTTCTGTCAACATATTTTTATATTATGTAGATTTCTCATTATATTGACTACAGAAACCGAAATATTCAGTGGTCAAACACACTTTATAATCAGTACTGTTATCATTATGTTGAGTGAAATAAATATTATGTTCTGTAGACTGATCATTATGTTCTGTAAAATAAATATTATGTTCAGTACAAAAAACTTTATGATCAGTGGTCAAAATGTTTTATGTTCGGTTCAATAAATATTATACTAAGTGGTTAATCGATTATATTCAGTGCTTTTTTCATCATGTGGTGGTGGAACTATACATTAAAATTATCCAAGACTTCGGGTAAGTAAAACCGAAATATTCCGAGTTGAAACACAGTACAACTCACCAATAAAAAGCTTCAGACCAAATATCAAATAATTCCTTTTATTAACAGCTGAGAAGTCTTTGACGAACATTTTAATTGGATGACGGACTAACGAGGTGATTGCACCAATCTGACGAGTGGGGGTATAATCTTATGGATGTGTAAATTTGGGTATTTACTCACAAACTTTACATAGAGTCATTTGAACTAAAGGTGGCTCAAGGGAATTATTCCACAATTTGTTTGTAAAATAATGATTCATTAAAGTTACATATGTTTAGAAAATTAGCAAAATAATTATTTAATTCAAAGAAAGCACCAAATTATTTAAAACTCATAGTTCTTTATTCCATCTGCAATATTTTAATTAGAAATGAAACAATAAAAAGCAAAAGATGTGAGTCTTGTCCTTATTTTAAAGGACAACAGGATTTATGCAAGGGGGGTAATTTGATAAAATATCTTGTATAGATCTCACAAGAGAACAGTGTTTGCCAAATACCATCAGTCAAAATAAGGCCGTGGTCCGACATACATCACTGATCTACCTGTCAAAATGTCCGGTAAACAAAAATCTTCTTCTCAAGATACCGCTTAGTCAAAACCATTTAAAATAAGGTATAAAACTGCAATTATGACAATCATCTGGTCGATTTGTTAATGATTGTATTTTCTATCAAAAATCTTCTGCGAAATGACGCCTTCAATAGCTGTGGCTTAATCAGTCATCATACAGAAAACTATTTTATAATTTTTACTTTGTACTGGATTTCGGTTAATACAGATATATTGTACGGCTGGTATACTCCACGTTTTTGCTTACAAGCAATCAAAATTTTCTCAGTTTCTCACATGCATTATTAATATACAAACCGACCACGTTTATTATCGATTTTTTTTCCTAATATCGGTTGAGAAGGGTGAAAATGTCATAGGAATAGAGAAACAAGAGGGTTCTCAAAAAGCCTGTATCGCTCACCTGGACCATGGCTCGTGAAAGATACTATCAAGATTTGCTCCGTAGTTTCAGAAGAGAAGATCTTTGAATGTGTTCTCATGGGGTCCATTGTTAAACTATGCTCCCCCTGGAGGCCATCTTGTATGGGGATGCGGGCCTGATGGACACCTTTTCAAGGAGGACCATCCAAAGACTATTGTGAATAGGTTTGGTTTCAATTGGTTTTCAAAGGAAAAAATCTTTGAATGTGTTCCCATAGGGTCCAATGTTAAACTATGATCCATAACCAGAATACAAAGTGATTTAAAAGCCTTATAAGAGCTTACCTGTAACAAACCAAGTGCATTTAAGCCATTTTTAAGGTCTTGGATTACTGGCCTGGGTGTGGAACTTTCAAACAATTCCTCTAACTGTTCAACACTAAGCAGCTTGGGGAGTGGTCCATTTTGAAGAAAAGATAATGCTAAAAAAGCAATTCTTTATACATTCTATTACTAATGAATGGGTTTCAGTAATGTCATTTATGTTTGAACTTACAGCAGTACAGTTTAGAAAATGTCTTAAATTGTGCCTATTGCATTCAATAAAATAAATTGGATTTAAAATCTTTTCAGTGCAAAATGATAAAACTTTTTTCTTGAAATTAAAAATATTCAATGCTATTATGATGAACTAATCAGATGTAATAGAAGTCTCCCATCAACTTAAATGATGAAGTCATTAGATCACATTTCAAGAGCAGTTTCACTTTCAATTTTGAATTTCTAATTAAGTGAAAAATAAAACGAATAAATAATGAATACGGTAAATAATAATTATAAATGCTTCAAAATTTTTATTTATTGTAATGATCAGCTTGATGCTATATTATTTACAATAAGAGGCTTTCAGGAGTCTTAACTGCTCATATTAAATTTATTATAAAACTTGAACTTTGCACATAAATTAAGGCCCGGCCAGCCCTCATCCTGAACATTCCACTTATGTCTTTGATCTTAAAGTTTATCTCAAACAAAGATTCCAGTGTCTCCTTCGGAATGATAAATTTGTCATTATGTTCCAATACAATGTCACTGTAATGGCAGCACATGATTCTCAACTCCATCATCTTAGCACGGCTACTAAGACCTAGTTCAAGGAAATCTTTCTGAGACAGTTTAGAAATAATGTCCGGAGTTATATTTTCTCTTTCAAAATTCTGCTTTAAATTATTCAAACCAGCTCTTTGGAGAATTTCATCCATTTTAAGAACCAAAACATCAACAACCCTTTGGAAAAATATGCCAACAAAATTGCCCGACTTCGTTTCAACTCGGAATATTTCGGGTTTACTTACCGAAGTCTTGGATAATTTTAATGTATAGTTCCACCACCACATGATGAAAAAAGCACTGAATATAATCGATTAACCACTTAGTATAATATTTATTGAACCGAACATAAAACATTTTGACCACTGATCATAAAGTTTTTTGTACTGAACATAATATTTATTTTACAGAACATAATGATCAGTCTACAGAACATAATATTTATTTCACTCAACATAATGATAACAGTACTGATTATAAAGTGTGTTTGACCACTGAATATTTCGGTTTCTGTAGTCAACATAATGAGAAATCTACATAATATAAAAATATGTTGACAGAAGATATTTTCAAAAGTACTGAATATAAAGACAAATCTACTCAATAGAATAATTTACCTACTGAACATAAAGCCAAAACTGCTAAGTATATTGATTAAAGTGCTGAATATAATACCAGATCTGCACAATATAATGATTATTCTACTGATCATTATGATGTTACTGCTCAACATAATTGTTATACTACTGAACATAATGAAAAGGGCACTCATAATCGAGAAAAAGCCGCTGAAAATAATTAAATGATCACAGCATATACTAAATATGAACAACGGAAGACAGCTATGGCGTTCCATATACACTTGTATAAAACTATCAATGGTTGTCCGACAATTATAGTAGCAATAAATAACATCTAAAAAGACAACAATCGGGTGTCATAAATTTATTTGTAAAAAGATTTGGTATATAGATTTTTGTTGAAATAAACAAACAAATCGGATGGACTTACTTCATAATCTAAAACCAGAATTCAAATTTATAAACATATTTTCATTTATTTTTCAGGAATAAAGAAATGAGTTTTAAGATTTTTTTTGTGTTTTGTCTATATTTAGGAGTAACGGAAACCAAAGTGTTCAAAAATTTCAACAAATGTCGCCATTTCTTTTACAAAGGACAAAGTCCAAGTTTTTTAAATCTTTCTGGGGATATTGTTTACATATGTCAACAGTACAACAACAAATTTTTTTATGCAACTCTTTATGATACAAAGAATAGAATTCCTGTATACAGTGCATTAGAACTAGACTTACGTTTTAATGGCAAACGTCTCGATGACAAATTTTTCATAGAGCCAATGCTAGCAACTAATGGAGGAGGAAACATGATCGAATTTGACTCTTCTAAACATTCGACGTATGGAAAAAAGCAAGCATTAGGTACGGACTACAGCAATAGTGGATATGACAGAGGCCATTTAAATCCACAAATGTTCAATACATTAGATGATGACACCAGATATGCAACCAATACTTTTACTAATATTGCGCCACAATATGAACCATTCAACCTAGGAACATGGCAGGACATGGAGAAAAAACTATTGAGCACTACAAAAGCTGAATGTAACTTTCCAGGAGCAAGAAGATATGTTATTGTAGGAGTGCAACCAAGTTCCAATAGATATATAGAGCGAGATATAGGTAACCAGCAAGATGTAAAAAGAGTTAATGTACCAAAATTTTACTGGACTGCCATTTGTTGTGATACCTCTACGGCGACTGACACTGATGATCGAGAAAAGGGTTGGTCGTTTGCATATAAAGCAGATAATATATATGACAGAGCCGTCACTGTTACTTTTGACCCTGTGGACAAATTTCTACCGAATCAGTACTCAAAAATATTTGCGGATTACACTAGCAATGGGAAAACCGTAGTAGGCTGTCAATTCAGTAGAGATGATGCTGTACGAATTATTACGCATATTAAACAAACTATCGGAGGTTTTCCAATATTTGAACCGAATCCTACATCACGCTTCTAACCAATAGCATTTTATCTAATACTATTCGGAATTAGTAAGAACCTTATAGACCGAATAATACCAGCTTAAAACTATTAACTGTTTATTAAAATGCAAGTCCGCAGTTATGCTTTTTAATTTATAATCAACGCTTGTCTTTGTTTTACAACACTATTGAGTGATCATTTTAACCGTTGTAATAATAGCAATATACATGCATAATCGTACAAAATTAATTGAAATGGACACTATGTCATATCAAATTTCTTTTTGTCATTTGGACGATGAATTGGGTGTTTATAGCACTGCCAGATCTTTTACTGTTTCTGTTAAATTCATTCACACTTTTTATAGACTCGGAACGATTTAGAGCTTAACATATTGTGTACACATAGTATAGATATAAGAAGATGTGGTATGAGTGCCGATGAGACAACTCTCAATCCAAGTCAAAAATTTATAAAAGTAAACCATTAAAGGTCACAGTACGGTCTTCAACACGGAGCCTTGGCTCACACCGAACAGTAAGCTATAAAGGGCACCAAAAATTACTAGTGTAAAACCATTCAAACGGGAAAACCAACGGTCTAATATATATAAAAAACGAAAAACGAGAAACACTTATGAACCACATCAACTAACGACAACTACTGAACATCAGATTCCTGACTTAGGACAGGTGCAAACAAATGCAGCGGGTTTAAACGTTTTAATGGTACCAAACCTTCACCCTTTTTCTGAAACAATAGTGTAACATCACAACATAGAAAGACACACTGTAAAATATCAACTGAAATAGCTTAACTCAATCAAAGGACATATTAACACCAGTGAACAAACACTGACTATATAAAGGAGTAGGTCCGGTAAGGGCCGATTTTGGCCTCAAATTTCAAGTTCATCTGATGAAAGATTTGGACACTTTTTAAACACTTAAGTGTCTACTTCAGTCGATTTAATTAGTTTATGTGAACGATTTACACTGATTTAGTCATTAAAGACGCCAAAATTCAAGCTTAAATATGAAAAATCTATCAAATATGCCATAATATGTCACTTTTCAGATGATTTTTGTCAAAAATGAAAGTGGCCGCATCCGTGTTCACTCTCAACCTTTATATATGTTATGTATTATCTATAATTAAATACAACTTACATTTAAATATTAAGAATGAACACAAATGCGGCCACTTCCATTTGAGACGGAAACCGTGTAAAATTTAGCTCAAATGCTAAAATTGTGAAGTTTTCAGTAAATTTAGCATGACTTAATGATGCTAGTACCCGATATATGTGCATTGTATTGTCAAAAACAGCCCATATTTATGTAACAGAAGTATTCTACTTTCCAATTAATAGCTAAAAGTTTACAGTTTAATAATTTTGTAAAACTGCTATATTTTGGGACCAAAAGGGGGTCTTACTGGACTTACTCCTTTGACCTATGATACAATGTAAATACGAAATAAATAAACTAAGGGAAGAATAATAAAAGAAACATGTTATATCGGTATGAAATGTTAAACAATTTAAGAAAAACAATATGCTCGAACAAAAATATCAGCCATTTGCAATAACTTTAAACACAGGTAAATGAAAATAATTTTGTTGTTAGTATAGTAATAGCATAGTATGTTTATTATGACACGTATGTTACGTTGTATCGGATGATTACGTACTTGATACAATAATTACAGTAAGCGTGAAACAAATTGTAAGGAACATTCGGTAGCAAATATTGAGTACAAAATCCGCGTTTATCCCATTGTAGTGTCGTAAAATTATCTTTAAATTTTCCCGTGAAAATAGGTCGTCTTGTAAAATCCGCACACAATTCCAAGGAAAAAATGTGTGGTCAGAAGGTACCATACTACAAAGTAGCACAACAGTGTATTTTTGAAAATGTCATTGGACATGTTTGAAGTTCTATATCTTTATTATGTTTTAAGATTAAAGGACAGATGAGGCACCAAATGAATGAAGAAGCGCTTGTTTAGATACATGATTACTGGTGTAGCAAATGGAAATATTTTAACAACGACCATATTTAGCAAAATTTTTATAATCCCCTATTCTACTATCTTTTTTAATAAGCACTTTGATTTAAATAACTATTAAAAAAAAGTTGATTTTGCATTGCTGAGTAAAAGAAACTAGTGAAAAAAAACTGTACTCCAAACTTTTGATTTTATTTCCTATATGGAAAGAACTTACAATTTTTTAAATTGAATTGGTGGGCATAAATACAAAATGTATATTTAGTATGGTGTTCACCACCCTAGGTTTATTTGTGTATGCTTTGATTTGAATGTCTTTTTCATTGGGTTCTATGTCATATTGTGTTCCACGGTGGCAGCCATCTTGGGTTCCATATTAGCAACAAATACTCAAAATTAGTATATGATCATCCTTGTTTCATTTATTCAAGATTTGATTAAATACTTGAGACAGTTTCAAAGACGAAGCTTTTTGTATGCATTTCCTAATTGGTTGTACGTTAAATTATGCCCCCAGTAGTGTCCATCTTTAATTTTAATTAGAGAAGCACCAAAAACTCAAAATTAGATGATGATGTGTGGACTATTGAGTTTTGATGTTTGAGATGGTTTATGATAAGCTATCTGTATGTATTTCTAATATGGTTCTATAACATGTATGTTGCAATATGTGGTCATTAATACTTATTTGGTTTTGCAAAATGAAACTTACAAATCATGATAATACTTACTAGTATTTATGATCATCATAGTCTCTTTAGTGCAAGATTTTGAGACTGTATAGCATACATGAAACATTTTTTTAAGTGAGTAATATGATCAATAGACAAGTCTTTTTTGTATTTTTCTTTAACTTTGTACAATTTGTTTCCAAGTTGTACTCTAGTTTGACCCATATCACTCCATTTTTCTACCTCATGGTCTATTTTGCAGCGTATTCTCGCTATGGTTGTCGTATCGTCATCCATGATTACCTTTGCTACAGTACAGCCTTTCTCTTCAATATTTTGCACTAAACTGACCCCAACATCTGGTTCCATGGCTTTAGAGGTGCCGTACTAATTTCGAGTACAGTTGTGCAGTGGTCGTTCTTTTCCCTTCCCTTCCAAATACGAGCAAATTCTGCAGTCTGTTGAACTTAAGTCCATATCAATTAACTTCCCGGTAAGATGGCCAATCATACTTCCGACCCCAGATTTTGAGTTGTATTTTCGTCAACTTCCCCTCTTCTGCCACCCCATGTCGTACTTAACAGACACCGGTACACTATCTCCACTATTTGAAACACTGAAAAATTTTAAAAAATCCATTTTGAAATACAACTAGGTATAGACACAATCGTGAGTTGTGTGTTTTTTTTTTATTACAACTCGATATACAACCAATACCTTCCTCATCTTTTATTAGCATAGAACGTGTTACATGTTAAACAAGAAATCAGAATATTTTAGTTTGAAATTATACATAGAAGTATATTGACCTCTACCTTTGGCCTCGGTCAATATTAACTGTTTTGCAGATAGAACAAATAAGACTCACTGAAGTGTCGAAGTAGCTTATTATTATTATGGACTATCATTCTATTATAGCAAACTCGTATTTGAATTATCAAGACTCATATGGTCGGACAAAATTAAAATGCATACGCTTTTCCTATGTGGAGCGGTATTAACGTCATAATATCGTTCTTGATTATTTCTGCTAATGGTAGAGAAAACAAAGACATCCATCGCGAAAATATTGAAAGGAATACTTCCTTCAAGGTCACTTCAAATTGGTTCATATTCTTTGAATTTGCTAGCCCCTAAATTTTTGAAACCTTAATAATTTTTCCTTTAAAACCACTTCAAATTGATTCATATTTCTTCAAATTCGCTTGAAAAACCTTATGTAATATTTTCATACGCCGTTCATGGAATACATTTTTTTAAATGTCATCAGTTGCCCAAAAATACAAAGAAAGTCACATTTTTTTTATGTTGAAAAATTATTTCTCGCACTTAAAAACAGAAGTTTTGTAGAAATAAATTTCAAATATCCCACCCTCTTACATGTTTGTACCAAATTTTAGGTATTGCTTGCTAAAAAAATTTAGCGATTTTTTTTTAAATTCGCACGCTCGCCCCAATTTTAGTACACAAACGTCCAAAAACAAGTATTCGTTTTGCAGTGGCTTAATGGAACACTTCATTTCTTTTATGCGAAATAGTTTTTATAAGAGAGCAAATATATATATATAGCAAGTGCATGTAAAATACCTCAACCGTTCCGATGCCTTCTTTTCTTCTTCCAACGAGTCATCCAAAGATCTCTTTGCAACTTGTTTGATCCTATTGACCTGATGTGGACCCATTCCAGTATCATACATAGCTGAAAGATACAAACCAGTTATTTTGTTCAGTATCCCATTCATATTTTTTTGTCAATTGATTGGTGTACTCATCCTTGTTTTTCATTTAGAAAAGAGTGATAAAAAATGTTATTGAAATATCTTTAATCCGAGTGCCACTTATATATTAAATGTAGGTGGTTCATTATTTGGAATCTTTTTGAAAAATGTAAAGTTTTGTATATCTTTTTACCTTTGCTAATTTTAGATGATCTCGAAGGGGTACGAACGGATTTGCAAAAAAAAAAATGAATCTGTGTCTTCCTATTTGGTTATTTTGGGTTCCATACGAACAAAAAACGTAACCACCAGCGACAATATTTGATTCTGATCGGTCCCAGCTTTTTCACAGCTATTTGTTATTTTTGTTATAACATTTCCTTTTGACAGAAGTGTTCCATTGGACCGATTTGGAGCCTTTTTTTTTTAGTTGTCAGGGTATATATGCAGATTGGGTCGTAACTTTTCAACATCAAAAATATAATTAGTGAGTAACGAGTGTGCCATTCTTAAATCCAATTTTATTTTAATTGGCTTTCTGCGAATACTCTTATTTCGGTGCTTTGTTTCTATTCATTTTATGTTAGTTGTCTGTCATATCTGTTTTTGTAAGATGTTTTGTTAACAAATATGCCGTTAGTTTTCTCAGTTGAATAGTTTCACATTTTTCATGTCTGGACCTTGTAAAGCCGACCATACGGTATGTGTTTTTCGTCATTATTGAAG